CCACGGCTGAAAAGGCGAGCATGTTTGGTGAGATGGGGATTCGAACCCGCGACCCGCAGATTGCGAGTCGAGCTCCCTGGCTGGTTACCTGGCCATGCCGGGCCATATAAGTTATGTTAAAGAAGTAAGGGTAGAGTTGAAAAAATACCTATTGGTTTCATAATTCGTACCAGACGGATGTTTTAAACAAAAAGTTATAATGCTAAATAGAAAGATACTGATTTAATAACTTATTGGTTAGCAGGGTTATTATACACAATGCTACATGAAATGCAGACAGACTCTCAATTACTGATTTACTAATTCATTAGAAAGCAGGGTTATATATAATGCTACGGGAAATGAAGACAAACTTTTAATTATCTATTTAATAGCTCATTAGAGCCATATAAGATAAGTTAAGGAAAATGCAAATAATTATTTACTAATTTAATGAATCACAGAAGATTGAAAGTTAAAACAGGGATTACAAACACACGTGAGACTGATTACCTTAACAGATTAAGATTTAAAACAAGAAATAACAAGATACAACATACAGACAGGTACCTACCACTTTAAATGAGTCTGGTGAAAGATCTGGATTTACATGTTCTCCCTGTCCGTATGGTAGCGGCGTTGTTCAAGTTTCTCCCTGCCTGTCTGTTGGAGGTGTTCTTCAAGCTTCTTTTTGCCTGTCTAGTGGAGGTGATTTTCAAGCCTCTCTCCATCTTTCTGGTGGAGGTGGTCTTCAAGCCTCTCTCCGCCTGTTTGGTGGAGGTGGTCTTCAAGCCTCTCTTTGTATGCTTGGTGGAGGTGGTCTTCAAGCCTCTCTCCATGTTTCTGGTGGAGGTGGTCTTCAAGTCTCTCTCCGCCTGTCTGGTGGAGGTGGTCTTCAAGCCTCTCTCCGTCTGTCTGGTGGAGGTGGTCTTCAAGCCTCTCTTTGTATGCTTGATGGAAGTGGTCTTCAAGTTTTTCTCTGTCTGTTTGGTGGAAGAGGACTTCAGGTTTTTCTCTATCTGTCTAGTGGAAGAGAAACTCAGGCTTTTCTCTGCTTGTCTGACGGAAGATGTTTTCAAGTTTCTTCCTGATTTTCTTACACATAAAATTTCTGAAATCGTAACGTATCATGAAGATTAATATAAAAAAAACAGCAACAAGAAAACAACGACAAATTTATCATCAATTATATTCAGTTTTTAATATAACTGAACAATTACATGAATTACATTACCATCATACAAGTCTTTCATATACTCCTCTATATTTTGTTTATTGACACATATAGATAAGTTAGGAACCATTATTTCATACACAAGGATGAAAGGATTGGTTTTGTGAGAGTTTAAGATACGATCTAAAGCCTCAAAGAAGCATATGCATAATGCTAATGAGGTTGAGTGTGTTATATGAAAACGACTTTGGAGCATTACCACGTCGTTATGGTTCACGTCGCCACGTCAAGTCATGAGCTTTCTGATAACTCTGCAGCACTGTTTATACTCCAAAAAATGTTATTGTAAGGCTGTCATGTCCAAAGCACGCCATCCCTCCCTGATACGGTTTCCATAGTCTATCTAATGTACTAGGACAAATTTCCCCATATACCGTTTCAGCACAAAAATCCACAGGCGTCTTAATTATAGTATGTCATTATAGTATGGAACAGCACGAATAACCATTTCATTTTCCAGCTGCTCGAAATATGTGACGGTTGAATGGAAGGTATCACTTATCTTGGTGAACCCATGCCCTGTTAGCCTCAGTTATAGACAGAGACACTTCTTGATTATGTTGGATCACGTAGACGGTTTTGCCACTGACCTCTTTGTTCGTGGATTCTCACCTTAAAAAATAAAGAATTTTGCTTACCACGGCTGGAGTATGACTCCTTGTAGTTATTTTTCTGGATAGTCCTAATTCTTCAAGATGATCATATTTTTTGTGTTCCAATACCATTAAATACAAGGGATATTCTACATGAATATTTTACGTGAGAAAGAGCTTAGAACATACCGTTTCCAAAAGCAATCAATTTTCGGTAGCATCACACTATCTACGTAATGCCAAACAATTTTAAAATGTAGTTCTGATACAAGCCGTTCCACCACGACTTTACATCAGCTGTGGTTAACACTTGCCTTGCTGATTTGCATATTCAAAATTGTTTTAATGTAGCGCTTTTTTGTTTGTTTGTAATTAAGCACAAAGCTACACAATGGGCTATCTGTGCTATGCCCAGCATGGGTATCGAAACCCGGTTTTTAGCGTTGTAAGTCCGCAGACATCCCGCTGTGCCACTGGGGTGCTTAATGTAACGCAGTTGTGAGCGTGACGTACAAAACCATTTTTCAATGAAAAAAAATCTAACAAAAAAAAGACAAATAGATCCTCCAATGACAGTGTAGTGTAACAGCATCTTAGACTGTAGCATGTGATAATACATAACAACAACTTTCTGATGATTTTTAACTTGATATTCTTAACTAAGTCAATACGGGTTTTCAGTGTCTTACTAATATATTTAAATCAATAAAGGCATCTTAGTCAGATTTGTGATTTAAAAGTGATGTTTCGTGCAAGGCCCGAGGAAAAAGTATCAAAGTCAATATTCTTAATTTAATTTTGTAATGGCAGGATTTTAAGCAAGTTGGTTATTATATCGCAATATTTAGCAAATATAATTTTTACATCTAGTGTAAAAACTGTAATTTAGCGGGTAAAACCGCTAATTTACTAAAATTCCAGATGCAACTTATAAAAGGTGAACTTATTTCTGTAATTGTTTGTTTGTAATTACGTACAAAGCTACACAATAGGCTATCTGTGCTCTGCCCACCACGGGTATCGAAACCCGGTTTCTAGCGTTGTAAGTCAGCAGACATATCGCTGTGCCACTGGAGGGCCATTTCTGTAAACCTGAGAACAGCATCTGAAAACCCTGCCAGTAAAGCAGATAATTTTCAGAACAGTTTGCTATTTTGAGGAACCCGTTTCATTATACATATTTAGGTGTGGTTATTTTGGAAGCAATACTTTAACAGCACTATTGATAATTTTGGGTTACAGGTGCTTAATCGCATCGTGGGATTTGACTGTCATTCTCATAACACACTCACTGCAACAAAGTACGGGACGATTTTATGCGAAAAATGATACGAACCTAGAACTCTTAGATTCACAGTCCGGACACGAGCTAACCAGTAGGCCTCACCCAGCCAAGCAAATAGGGAAGGGTTACACTGTTCTTTGTGCGTAATTTTACTTGACTTCATCCTTCACCCAGATCTACTTGCCAATTATATGATTACGAAAATTAAAAGTGTTAGATGTAATTCGTGGTGGATAATAAACCTAGTTTAAATACAATAACGTATAACCTAATAATCCGAATAGCCTGAAATACATACTGCATGTATTTTCAATGGTAATCGGGGTTATACTGTTCTGCTCTTAGCCCATTCAATAAAGATCGAGCTGAAGAGAAATTATCAGTTCTAAAAACATAAATTTCATGATGAGCTCATACACAATAAACTCATTACATTGGGTCTCAAAAATATACTTTTAATTACGCAGCCTAACTTTGCGTGACGTTTGCACAGAACAATCAACGTTACTCATCATAGCCCCTAATTTTCAATGAACTTTCACACCACTTCTATAGGCACAAACAATAGGAAGGTAAAGAAACCCAAAGCCATCTGCTGCGCTTCCCTTGGGGCCTGATTCTAGGCCAGTCACTAGGGGAGGAAGTTCTTGACAAGACTGATAGCCTTGACGTATCTGGACTATATTACATAAACAACCATCTGGTGGTTTGGTAAGTCCTCCCACCATATGATACAATATTGTGCTGTGGAGTACCGAAAGATTAAATACCCCTAAAACAGACGCAGGTGATGGACAATGTAACTACAACCAGTTGGGAAAGTCTGTTTCAATTAAGCACGTGAGGGAATCGCTGGGAAAGTGTTAGGTCTTCAATAAGTAGTTAACAACAGGGGTCCTTAAATAAAACTGTTGGTAAGAAGAATGTTAATTCTTTATTCTAAGAAACGCTTATCTGGCATTCATCTGTATAAACACTAACACTGTACAATGAAAATACTGCCTTAAGGACTGACAGATAACATGAAACAAGTCAAAGGATTAATTCCCACAGAAAACAAAGCCAATTGCTCACGTCCAACACTTGGGAAATAATATGTGAAGAATAACAACAATCATATCAAGTTGTCCTTTGTGAACATCGTTAGTAGTATGTGAACACTTCTTTGTCGCTAAACTCATGAATTCAAAACAAAACAAAACACAACAACAAGATAATAACTATACACGAGTTATACAAATAGTAAACTTATAGTGTCTGTGATGATATGTATTAATAAATTTAAGGTAACGTTCAACTAAGCATGCTGGAAAATTATATACACTTGTTAAAATACCATAAACTCCAACCATGCAGTATAAAAAGTGTTAGAGAACCTCACGTAATGTATAAGCCTGAAACTATTATACATTTCACCCATATGATTTAGAACACGGAAATTGCTACAAGTTTCAGCCACACTCCAAACTACCAAAATCTTGACCACAACATTTATACACTATGAAACAAATTTGCATCCCAGTAGTCTGTGTATATTTAGTGCTGGTAAAATACACCAAACCTAACAGCTCCTGGACCAGACAAAAAGTTCGATTTGGAGAGGTTTCCGGTTTAAGGTGCGTTTTCGCTCTAATGAAATATCAATTGATGGAAACATCTGTACAGTCCCTTAAGTATTTAAATGTTGTTGATTGTCTAATCTTCTGTATATGTAATTAAATAAGGTAATATCTTTTAAATCTTTGTGTTTGTTTGAATTTATGCACATAGCTACACAATGGGCTA